GTTTTGAAGAAGATATGGAAATTATTTGTTATTTCTTAGCACACCAGGAAATAAGAGAAGAGCCAAGAAAAAGCAGTAACCAGAGATGGACTTTTGTGAATCAAGGCATCCTGCCCAGTCAATATCTAAAAAGCCAAGGAGTTGAGGTTCTAATTTTCTCCTGAACAAGAGACCTTTGCCAAGACTATTCTTTAGATATCTAATGACTCTACAAGTAGCATGGAAGTGTTCCATAGTAGGATTGTGGAGAAATTGGCTGAGTTGTCGAGTGGCATATGTAATATTTGGTCGAGTGGTATTGAGATATAACAAACTATTAATCAACCTGGCTTAGAACCAAGTAATTTAGATTCTTACAAGAGGTCAAAGCAGTATTTATGTTGAGACAAACAAATTCCTTCTTTTGAATGAGCAACTTCTAAACCAAGAAAGTACTTTAATACTCCTAGGTCTTTGATGCTAAAACTTTCATCAAGAGAAGCTTTGATACGGTTCAATTCAAGCATGGAATTCCCAGCTAGAATTATGTCGTCAACATATACTAGAATAGCTGTGAAATATTTGTTAGTTTTCAAAGTGAACAAAGAATAACCAGAGATAGATTGAGTATACCCCATGTTGGATCAACATAGCTGTCAGTTTTTCATACCACTTTCGACTGGCTTGCTTTAATCCATAGAGGCTCTTTTTAGGTTTACACACCTGGCTTGGTTTGGCACAGGAAACACCTTCAAGTATTATCATGTGGACATCTTGTTGCAAATCTCCATACAAAAACGCGTTGTTCATATCAAGTTGGTGAAGGAACCAGTTATTTATGGCTGCAATTGCAAGAAGTGTCCTAACAGTAGTAAGCTTTGCTACATGGGAGAGTGTGTCAAAGAAATATAATCCTTTAATCTGATTATATCCTTTGGCAACAAGCCTGGCTTTATACCTCTCTATTGTGTCATCTTCTCTATGCTTAACCTTGAAACCCCGTCTATTTCCAATAGGTTTGACATGAGAAGGCAAGTCAACTATGTCCCAAGTCCCATTCTTGTGTAATGCATCTAAATCAGATTTCATGGCCTTGATCCAATGTTCAGATAAACATGTTTCTTTATAACTCTTTGGCTCATGTGTGTATGTGATGGAGGATGAAAAAATACGATGGGATACAGACAAATGAGACAGAGAATTATATTTAGAAATAGGATAAACTATACTTTTACCTGAAGATGTTATATGTGTTGAAACATTGGAGGTGTTGCATACATAATCTGAGAGATAATGAGGAACAAGTTTATTCCTAATAGGTCTAGTTTGTGTGACAGGTTCAAATTCTATTATGATTTTTTCAGGTTGTTCAAGAGAACTATGATTATGAACTATATCATTGTTTTCTAAAGGGTTATGGTCTAGGTGAAATTATGAATGTTCATGTTCAGAACTTTCAGGATGAATATTTGGAGAATGTTGGGTTTCGTCATTAATGTTAGTATGTTGAGTAGAATTGTGCACATCATTGGGAATATGTTTAGGGTCATTTTGAGGGACAAATGAATTGTTTGGTAAATGATTATGGTTAGAATCAATGTGAGAGCAGTATTCCAAAGTAGATGGATTGTTATTTGGGTAAGGAAAAATGTGTTCATGATGTGTAACATTTCTAGAAACAAAGACTTCATGATTATTAATATTATAGAGCACAACACTTTTAGACTGTGCATATGAAGAGTTGATGCATATGCTAATGAACCAAACACTTTTAGACTGTGCATATCAGAAAGCTCATTATGCAATATGAAATAAGGTGAAAGGTTATTAAGAACTTATGTGTGAAGTTTGTTTATAATAAAAGTTGCATGCAAAATAGCATAGGACCAAAATTTTTTTGGAAGTTTTGATTGAAACAAAAGAGCTCTACCTACATTCAAAAGATGTTGATGTTTCCTCTCCACTCTACCATTTCATTGTGGAGATTCCACACAACTTATTTGATGCAAAATACCTTTAGAGGCATAAAAATCAGGCATGCTGAATTCAAGACCATTATCAATTCTAATGATCTTGACATTAGTGCCTTTTTTATTTTCAATAAGTTTGACAAACTTTATGACATGCTGTCTAGCTTTAGATTTGGATTTCATTAGTGTTATCCATGTGTATCTGCTGCAGTCATCGACGACTGTTAGAAAATATGTAGGACCATGTAAAGACTTGGTTGCAAGAGGTCCCCAAATTTCAAAATGAATTAAATCATAAGGATGTGCAGCCCTACTACTACTAACATTGTAAGGAAGCTTTCTTTGTCTAGCAAAACAACACACATCACAAACATCTTTGTTATTAACTGTGATAAAAGGAAATTAAGAGTGTAAGTACAATAGTCTGTTTTGTGATAGATGTCCTAATCTAAAATGCCAAAGGGCTCTATCAGGTAAGGTTATAGTTGTTGCTAAAGTATTTATATGTTCAGTATTAACATGTAAATCATTGTCTTCTAGCTTTAAGTAATACAACACATCCTTCTTTTCAGTAGAACCAATCATATTCTTCCTGATTTTGTCCTGTATGACACATTTAGAAGAAAAAAAATTGACATTACAATTAGATCCATCACACATTTTTGAAATAGATAACAAATTTAAAGAAAACTCAGGAATTAATAAGACATTTGAAACAGAGAATTCAGGGAGAAATTGATTGCTCCTGAATATCTAGCAACAAGAGATTGCCCATTTAGCAAGCTGACACTAATATGAACTATTTCTTTATAGGTATTAAACCATGTAATAGAAATACTGATATAATCAGTAGCCCCTGAGTCAATAATCCAACACCCTAGACTACTTATATGTGAAATATGATGCATATTACCTATTGATGAATGACCAACAACAACCTAATTAGAAGAAGCATGTCCTGACATTTGACCAAGGTTAGATTTCTCTAGCAGCTTCATTAACATAGTGAATTGACCTTGAGTCATAGGAGAATTATCATCTCTAGTGTCAGCATTATGAGGAATAGATCCATCATCATTGCCATGTGCAGCGACATTGTTTGCTGCAACTAGAAATTGCTTCTGCATATGTGGGGGAACACCATGTTTCTTGAAGCAATTATCAACAATGTGGTTAGTTTTACCATTAAATGTGCACACACGATTTCCATATTTAGAAGAGCTCTGCCTTGATCCAAACTTCTTGGAATCCACAACATTGATCAGATACTGAGACTCATCAGTTTGTGGATGAAGTTGTATTTGTATTTCATGTTGAATAACCATAAAAAATATTTTGTTTATGGGTGGTAAGGGATCCATTAACAATACTTACGACTTTACAACAGCAAATTGATCATTCAGACCAGTTAAAAAATGAATTATATGCAACAGTTCATGATTGAACCTAGCACTACACATAGCTTCGCAAGAACACTTGATTCGGCATGTGCACACAGGCAATGGTAAATACAAATCTAATTCTTCCCAAAGAATCTTGAGATCAGAAAAGAATTCAGTTACCGGTTTTGTTTCTTGCTTGAGATTATAGATTTTCTGCTGCAATTCAGATATACGAATGAGATCGCCTTGAGAGAACCTTTCTTTGAGATCATTCCACACATCAAGAGTGTTTTCCAAGAAAATAATAGATTGAGCAATCGATTCTGAAACGGAATTCATGATCCAAGAATGAACCAACATATTGCATCGGTTCCAAGCTCGAACTGAGGGATCGAAAGAATCCAACAAAGCTGGGAGAGATCCATCAATGAACTCTATCTTCATCTTGCCACCAAATACCCTCTTCATGGATCGAGCCCAAGAATGATAATTGGATCCGTTGAGCTTGGTAAGAACGGTGACGGAGGCAGGGCCGTCACTAGGGTGAATAAAAAAAGGAGATGTTTGATCCATAACAAGATCAATCGGTGGCGGTCGTGGAGGCGCCATAGAAGCAGAAAGAAAAAATCAGGCGAAGAATAACGGAAGTAAGATCTGAATGGCGAGTGATACCATAATGTGATGCAGCAAAATATGAGAAGAAACGATAGAAAGATGAAGAATGAAGAATGAAAATGGAAGAAACAGATAACTCTTCATTGATTTCATAGAGATAAGGACTTAGAATACATACAAAAGTGTTATCACTTATCAACCAATGAGAATTGAGATTCTCCAACTAACTACCACTAACTAACTAATCTAACCAATCAAAAATAAAGAGATTAATTAGACGAGTTAATTGATTAACTTAATAGTTACAATAAAAAGCCCAAGGTTGAAGATTTTTGGGAGCAGCATTGCCAATACTTAGTGGAGCATTGCCAAACTCTATTTTTCTTGCCTTACCCTTTTTTTATCGCGAGTTTGCCTTGCCTTTGCTCAACCAGCGGCATGTACCTCATTACGTCGAATTGAGAATCATGTTTGGTCCATGATGAATATATATGCGTTGAAATATTCAACTTTAGAACGAAGACCCATACAAAAGAAAGTAGGATTATTTACAGATTTACAACTACACGTTTTGTTAATGTTCTTATGTTTGACCAAATAATTTACGACTACAACACTAAAATATTGTTCCCTAACAAAAACAGTAAAATATAACCATTTGATGTTCATCAATTAACATAAAAAATTGCAACACCTAAATAACCATTCAAGTAACAAAATTTTGAAAGAACATAGATGTAAAAAATGGTGATTATGTATTATAAACCTGCATATATCGCTTTATATAATATGAACAATATGAATCAAGGTCTCTTAATCAATAAAACATCAATTAATTATTCTCATAATCAGGATTTACTTTTACATAAATCTTACTTTATTTACTTATACAAAGATCTAACTATAACACATCACATCCCAAAGATGTGCATAGGAATCAATCCCCTAAGACAACCCATTTATTTGATTAGTACAAATACATATATCAAAGTATACAATAAGAATCATGAAATGAAAACAATACAAATTAAATTAAATTCCTCAAAAAAGTAACTTAAGGACAAAACACAACATCATAGGTAGTTCCTCCCATACAAGTATAAGTGCTGGTTGCATCATCTTTAGGGTAACTATAAGCACAAGGACACCTATCCTTAAAGAACTTAGAATAATTTGTTGGAGCACACGTGGCAGAAGCATTTGTAGCAACAGATTTAGCAGAATTTAGGTCACAACAATATTCAGGTGTTCCAAACGTTGTACAAGGATTGTTACATCCACCTGGTACCTTAAGTTGTGCTGGACACTCATCGTTAATATTCCTAGTACAATTAACCGTGCCACAAGAGCTTGATGAAGGTGTCAACTTAATTGGGATGTTAAAGCCTTGTACAAGCGAAACATCGTAGAAATCGAGGTCGTTGTACATGTTCAAAGAGAATTCTAGGATTGTGTTTGGTGGTGTACCGAAAGTTTTACATTCGAGAGTGTTGTTACAGTCACCTGTTTGACACTTTCCGATACCGGAGTTGTCGAAAGTGCAATTGGTTCGACCCCAGATTCTTGCGTTGCTTGTGCCGTTTGTTATGTTCATGTTCCATGATTCGCCGGTGTTGAGTTTTACACCGCCGCCGGGGACGGCGGCGGCCCAGACGGTGTAGTTGCACTTGTTTGTGATGTTGAACTTTCCTGCTTGTGTTGAAGCTATGGAGGTTATGGCGATGAAAAGGAAGATGGAGAGGTTTCTTTTCATGGTGATGGCCATTTTTTGTGTTTGATGAAAAGTGAATGAGAAGTAGGTTTTATATCTATATATCAATATCTATATATAATAATATTAATAACTATTATTTTCTTGATTTGTTCAACGTGTGGATATGTTGAAGAAGAAAAACGTGGTTTGTTTTTGAAAATTTATATGTAATAGTTATGAAATTGAAGACAAGTCAAGTATTTAGAAATTAAAATAGCTTATAATAGCTACCATTTGTAGAAAGGTTTTAACAATTTGATAATATATAATATAATAACTTAGCAAAATAGGTCACGTTAATTAAATGAAGTTTGGCCGTGATTGTGGAATAATGGTTAACTATGGTCAGAATTTCCTGCCTCCATTAATTTGATTAATTAATCTCTTATAATTAATTACCTGCAAAGTTCAACTTTTTTATTTACATTTATTACATGATGTTGGGTTAGGCTGCTAAATCCAAGGATGACACGTGCTTTTCTAAATCCATTTTACTGGGTGTTCACTCAAACTCCTTAATCATTGAATCCGGATCGGAAGGTGACTCCCCTCAGGCCTAAGGCTTACTCAGGTAAGACTTCTTCCTTCTCCCCTTTCATGCTCTAAGCGGGAGGCGGGTCGGCGAAGAAAGAAATGGCAATAAAGTCATCTCCGGTAGTCAATAAAAGCTGATCTACGACAAACCTTCATCAATAGTTCAGCAACCAGAGCTATTAGGCTAGTCAAGACAAGGCTAATTAATAATTTTAAATCCCTATCTGTAAATATTGGAGTTCTCTAGACCGAGGCGCTAAGGATGAAAAAAAAAAGACTCGGTCATAGTCGTTGAAACGAACTCGGTAACAATGACCAGTCATTAGTTAAGCTGGCTTGGCTAATGTGAACAATTTGGTAAAAAGAAATCAATATTTAATTTTATTTGTTCTTAATCTTTCGATTCTCGTATGAAAGAGATTATGATTTTGACGTATATCATTTTGTTAATAAACGAAATTGGAAATGATGTAATGAAAAAATGAAAAAACATAAAGTCAAATGTCGTATTTGAATTTTGGGTTTAGAGCTGAAAGTTGAAAATGAATGTTGAAAACTTGAATAAAATAAAAGTCAATTGTGTAAAACATGGCCTAATGCCTTGAATAACATTTTCAAAATTTCGAGGTTCTTGCACCATCCTGATCTTCTAGTAATAGAGTTGGTGAATAATAATAGGAGAAAAATGTAATTCCTACGGCAAATCTATCCACCTATGTTGTATTTTACTTTACTGTACACCATGTAAAATATTATAATAACATTTATTTTAAAAAAATGTATAAAAAATATTTTTTTATTTTATTTTTATTTTAAAATTAAATAATATTAATATAAAATTGTGATTAAACAACTTTATTAATCAACTTTTTATATTTTATTAATCAATTTTGTTTGTTGCTAAAAATTATTTTTAATATTTAAACCATTATTAACCAACTTCATATCTTCATTAATCAATTTTTTACTTTTTATTAACCAACTTAAGTTTACTAAAATAATTTTTAATATCTGAGCGCTTATTAACCAACTTCGTCATTTCATTAACCAACATTTTACATTTCTGATCTTACCGGATCAGAAAAGGGTCAGCGGCCAGCAACACGTCGTGAGCTCTTTAATTCGCCAATGGTGGAGATGGGGAGGGGGTGTACCTACTATAGTGAAAGAGGGTATTTATAATGTGTCTCCAGCGCGGGGTCAATGGTTACTTCGCATTGGGTTGGATCGCTAGGTCCAATACGAATAACTGTCAAGGCTTACATGGTGTAGGAAAGACTAACATGTGGTCTTCTCCTTAGGTCAACTGCCCTGTGATCTTCGAAAGGTGGGTAGTTGCCTGATGATGTGTCCCCGCGTGAGAGGTACGTGGAGTCTATGGGGGAGACGCGTGAGCGCTCCCCGTGTGATGTGATAAGTTGCGCCCTCCGTGACAGTGGGACAGCCTCGGGCCCAGTCCAGAACAGGAGTCCCCCAAGTCGTTGCTCCGAAGCAGATGAGTAATGACTTAAGAGTCAGTTCTAGAGTCGAGGACCTGCCCATAGAAGTGTTGTGCGTGTTTGAAACGCTAAGCTCGGGGGATGAAGCGCGTGCGCAAGAGTAGGAGCTATTCGACAGGACAGGAGCTCGCGGGGGGGGGGGGGGGGGGACCCGTCTGTCTGATGTAATCCTGGCTCTTTCCTTGCTTCCCCTTGGGAAGTGTTCCTGGCAGCACAATGTCGGGCAACGTGGGCGACGATGTGACGAAAGCGGAAGGGAACAGACACGTCTGGCCTCAAGCAAGAGAGGGATTTGAAAAGACACACATGGTATCTTCAAGCACCACGTGTCAAGAGTAATAAATATCTATGGTGGCAATGAGTATGGGTGCTTGAGTGTCTAGTGATGTCTTGCTTCCCATGCTACGGTTATAAATAGGGGAGAAGTCTGTTTCATTTGCATGCTCCCCTCTATTATGCTAAAAAAAATTCCCCAAGTCTCTCAACGCTCTCTCTGCTCCGCAAAGCATGTTTGCCGACGTAGTCGCCATCAACCTTCTCCCGTCGTCTAGAATTCGCTTCCTTCAAGTAAGTCTTTGGCCCTTTTTTCCAGATTCTACGAATTTTCCGATGGTTTATGCATTTTCCGACGAAATCCCCGGGGAAGGAGGCTCGCTGCTCTGCGTCGAGCAGAGCCTCCTCGTGAGTGAGTTTTCCTCGACGGGTGTTATGGTTGGGGAAGTTTGTCAAGCGACTCTTCGCCCCTCCCATCGCCTTTTCACTTGATTTGCGGTGGAAGAGTGAATTTGATCTTAGATGTCGAATTCACTGTTTCCCTCTACTTTTCAGGTAAAATGGTCGCAAGGATCGAGGGTGTCATTGTAATCGATGAGGAAGTCGAGTCTGACACCTCCGTCGAGTAAGTCGGGGTCGAGCGAGCCTACACGCCAGAAGATTGGGTCGGGAAGAAACCCCTTAACATCGCATCATGCTTCGCCATCGATGACTTGGATGCCTTTGCCACCTTCGAGGACCGCACCGAGGACGCTTCCCCGAGTTGGATGGTTTACAAGCCCAATGAGAAGCATCGCATTTTCTCAAGGCTCAATGGGATGAGGTTCTCAATGTATGAGTTCACATTTTGGGATGCGACGGGGCTTCGTCTGCCCTTTAGTGACTTCTAGAAGGGGGTGCTTCAATGGCTGTATTTGGCGCCTTCGCATCTTCACCCCAACGCGATTGCGTTCGAGCTCGTGTGTCAACACCTCTACATTGAAGCCACGTTCGGCATAATTGGGTATCCCTAAAGCAGCCGAGGAAGTTGTTTCGAGCATACCAAGATTTTGTCTGTACCTTTAAGGACAGGTTCTTCGTCGTAAAGCATGTATTGCATGTGGTCGTCGACTCCGTATACGACCTTGTGGTCAAGGAGGAGGACGGGCAGCGGGTGGAGTCTTTAGAGTCGAAGTTCCCTCTTGAGGTGGAGGAGGTCCACTTCAACAGAGGTACAGACAACTAAGTCGTCAAGTCTGACTCTTTAAACACAGAGGATCGGTTATCTTATGAGAAGATAGTCGAGTTCGTCTCTGGTTTTACTCCTGTTAAATGTGTCAACAAGGACGAGAGTTTTATTCTTAATGAGCGCGGGGAGGTTCGCTGTGAACCTTGATTGATCAACACCAATGTCCTCCTCGAGTGCGGGTTTAACGAGGATGCCTTGAGATTCTTAGGTAGTGGATGTTTTCTTTGCTCGTGTGTCCGCTTATGTTTCTCGCTATATTGACTTGTTTTCCTTTTCCTATATTGATGGCCAGATGTCGAGCATCCAGGAGCGAGTGTTAAAACTTGCGGCGACCAAGGGCGCGAAGTGTAACACCCCCTTTCTATACCCGCAAATAATACAATTAAAATCATTTAGGCACGAATTCAAAATTCCATCAGAGTACATTTATATCATGGTATAAAAGAAGTGCGTCACATTACTCACGAATCGACCACATGAATATTAATGTTTAAAAAGAAATAATTCAAAAGGGGTAAATCTCAACTATAAAAATAAACGCATGTTTCTTTAAAATATACATATTCATGTTTTCTTATTAAAGCGGAAGACTAAAACATTGAATTACATAAGACATGATAAAATACAAGTACATGTCATCAGGTTGTTCATAACATTTCCACAATTAACCAAACATCATCAACTAATACATATATGTTGAACCACAAGGATTCTCTACGAGCCTAGCTACCCGATGTTACATATCAGAGCGACCGACTCAAGAGAAAAGGAGCTATACTCCGAAGGAAATCTCCAGCAAATCCTAATCTGCAATGCCTCATAGAGCACCATAAAATAGCAGAAGGGTGAGAAACATTACCATAATAATAATGCATATAATTATGTATATAAACAAGCATAAGATACATATACGTCACATTCCTCATCACCCCTCATAATCGATTCACACACTCACTACTCCCACATCAACATATCATATGTATACATACATACCCTTCTCCTAATCAATCACATATACATCATGTTTCACTTACCACAAAATCCTATAAACATTTATATACATGTTTATTTTCATCAATGCATCATGTAAAGATGGTTATGCAACTCATAGAGACCGACTCACGACTCTATGCAGATGCAAATGCGGTACCGACTCATTCAGCAGATTCTCCAAGGAATCAAATATAACCATCGCTCACACTCCACAAGGGTACACGAGGTTCTGCAGATCCTACACGGGATCAAATATAACCATCGCATCAAGCGAGGTTCTGCAGATCCTACACGGGATCAAATATAAACTATCGCTCACACCCCACAAGGGCACACGATAATTTCTGCAGATTCTACGCGGAATCAAATATAATCATCGCATCAAGCAAGGTTCTGCAGATCCTACACGGGATCAAAGGTAACTAAACCATCACTAACACCCCACAAGGGCACACGAGGTTTCTGCAGATCCTACGCGGGATCAG